TAATTAATGTGTATTTTTCTCTCCAACGCACAACAAGACAACTCTCTCATTCCTCATTGGTTGATTAATATGGTGCATTAAAACCAACCTTCTCACCCCCGCATGCATACATGCATGCGGTATTAATGTCATGCATGCATGCATGCGGTATTAATGTCCTCGGTTGCTAGTACAGGGCAAACCTCATAAATTTTATCTCGATTGGTGTTAGTGGCCTTGTATAGCTGCAAATTGTAATTTTGATAGTGGCCTTGTATACAAAAATGGAGGGAGTAATAATATGTTAATTTGGATTTTGGGTACAAGTCACTGGATATTTTTATATTAGGCCATTGTATTAGTTTTATTATTTTAATACTCTGAATTGCTTGTAAGCGAAAATTCGTGATGTATTAGTCCAATATTTATTATTATTTTGAACAAAACATGTTTTCTTTATTCGTGTGTGAAAATAGAGAAAACTATGAAAATTTTGCAAAATTCCCATGTTCTTAAAATTAGCCAGGTTAGGCTAGGATGCATGTGAGTGTTCGAAGTCCGAGACTGCGGGCGAATGCAACTCAAATCTCTTTTGCTTCAATGTTAGATAGCTGATTGATATGTGATCTCTTTGCTCATTTGCAACCCTGTGCCTATCATAGACCATTGAAAACCCTTATTACAACATGTCTGCAAGGCTGACTTTGTGTCTAAATCTTTAGACCTTGTCACTTTGACTTCGTATTTGCATGTGATGCTTATTATTTTGTTCCATCAAAGACAGAGTTTGTATTGTTTATTTTTTTGTAGTAAAAATTGCTAAGGAGATGATAAGTAATCATACAATTAGTTTTCCATGTTACTCCAAGTTGAGAAGAGAAGTACATGTCATTCCTGATTATTTTGTTGATTATTTTTGTTAGGGTATGGTGTGGTAATAATTGTTCTAGGCTGTTGCTATTCATATAAGAGGATACGTTGGTTTTGTCTTGTAATATCTTTCAAATTCAGTAAAATTTCACAATGAAAAATACAATTTTGAATTCGGAGCAATCTTGAGGGAGACAAAAAACAGAAAAAATGTGTGATCATGTAGTGATAATGTAGATTTGAAAAACTTGTGGAGAACTTTTTTAAGGAAGATGTGCGTCGCACGTGCATACTAACTAGTCAAATGCAAATAGCCATTTTTTGCGGGATGTATTTGGTTTCAGTCCTAACTAACTAGCACAACCAAATTTTTTGGCATGAAGACCAAAGCAAAGGCATGGCCAATTTTTTGGTAAGTTGATGTTGTTTGGATTATATTTTGGCCAAATTGCTAGGTTTCTAATTGGTTTGTAGCCAGTCCAAAGAACAATCAAATCAGGCTGGGTAGCCATTTTTTTGTACAGCCAGCTTTGGTTGTGAACCAAACACATTCATAGACTTCATTATGCATTCTGTACTTTTCACCGGTGCGATTAAAGGATCGAAGTATAGATGACATACCGTATCCCAACATTGGACAAACATTTATAAATTTGATTGATTGGTACGAATGGGGTTATCCCTTCTTCCATACAGAGGTTCATCCCAACAATATTCCCATCAACTCCAACAAGAGGTCCACCGTTTCCAACCTTGGTAGCACAAAAAATGGCCTGTGATGCTTGCCTCAAAAGAGAGGGTTAGAAAAATCAAGGCAGAGAAATCGACAGCGCACCGCAGTGATTTGGCACGTAGATCGTTCGCCGTCGAGTCCACTTGGACCGCCAGCCAGCATGCCACGCCTGACCGATAATTTGCCTGTCCTGTAGCGGCAACTAATAGCAAACAAGTCACCGGAAGACTCATCAACTTGAGTTCTGTCACGGATACATGCTGCGCAAAGATGAGGGTAGGGCCCAATGGTCACAACAAGCATGTCAGGATTCACGCTGTAATATTGCAAATGTGCCTTTGCCACTTTCCTGTTTGGTAGACGCACTTTGATCTGCAGTGATACGACAAGAGACAATGTGCATGCTGCTGAAAAACAAGATATGCAAGCGATGTAATGCAGAAAAAAGTAAAATTGGCAGCACCAACCTGGCATCCAGGGAGAAAAACTGAGTCTCTCGTAACCAGATCTATAGATGTGAGGAAAGATGTAGCGTATTGATCGCTTTCGACAACTATGCCCATGCATCGACAACGGATCTCTTTACCTACACAAGGGTACGGTGATCACAAATTCGGTCATGATGAGTAAACATGCCACAAAGATGGAGAAGCAATGTGCACATATATCAGTAGTACTACTACGATCACCGTAATACGAGATGAGCGAGACGATGCTCAATGCCAGCTTCGAAGCGGATTCCTCGCTGACCCCTCCTTTGATCAGATCTTTTAACGCTTTGTTCCGATGCGAGTTTCCTAGTTGACAGAAGCATTATATATTTATATATATGTGAAGGCTCTGAACAAAAATCTGTAGAAATAAGCGTGGCAGAGAAGGATTGGCAAGAGGTGGCTCACTGGTCCTTTGGCCCAGCTTGCATGTTTCCTGCCTTAGACTTGAGCTTGCTCTGTTTCTCTTGACTTTCAGCATGTTTCCGGCCCTTGAGAAAAAGGGAAATTCAATATTTAAGCCATCGAGATACTCGGTACATTATGATTTTCTTTTTGAAACAGTTACACAATCATCTCGATGTCACAAGAGCCATGCTGCTAACTCCAAATTAACTAGGATAGTATATACAAATTAATAATCTGGAAGGGCATGCAGATGACAAAGCCGGTCCAAATCATTTTGGGGCCCGGGACGATGTAAAATGACTATCTTTTGTATTGAACTTTTATACATATTTTAAACTAAGTGACCATATTACAATTTTAATTAATACAATTTTATTGCTCAGTCACATAAGAATGTTTTCAAATAATATATTCATTATTACAAAATTGTAATTTATATGAATGAATGTTTTGGTTCTACGAAATTTAAATTGCATAATTTCCAAATCTATTTCTTGTTAAAATTCCTTCAAATTAATTTTCTCATATTGCATAAACTATATAGTGTATACAAATATATTCGATATATATCTCTCTGTGTGTGTGTGTTTCTTCATATATCTTTTAATATTATTGAATAACATGGTAGATATTTCTAAATCATAGATACAAACAAATATTTTAATAGTGAATTCTAGTATATATTACGCAACCATATTTATAAAACTTTTAGGGTATAACAAATGGGACTTACAAGTTGGGTTCACTAATAGAATCATCGAAGAACCAAACATGTTGATTGCACAATTGCACAAGATTTGATTATCTGACATGCTCATCTAAATTCACTTGGCTTGATTTGGTGCAAATGCGATTTTCTACCAGTTTCTCAAATGAAAAATTATGCACTAGTTTAAACATTCAGATCTTGGTATCATAAATTCCATTATGATACTAAGACATTCACCATAAAAGGAAACTAATATAATTAAACTCAACTTCATCAATCAGATTGGTTTGCCTCTGAATGGTATAAACTATTAGTATGTGTTGTGTATTTGTGCTCCTTCAAATTAAGGCTCTATTTCATGCATTTAATAATCTTTCAAATGTGATGTATGACCGTATAGAGCACTAGTTTAATTAGTAGCCGGGCCCTTCCCTCTTCGGGCCGGGGCGGTTGCCCCTTTTGGCCAGCCTATGGGCCACCCCTAGCAGATGGAGGAGGATCGGCCGGAGTTGAGACTTGGGATGGGCATTATCGTTCTGGGGTATAGGAGGAGAAGAGAAGGGAAGAGTAATGGGCTTACATCATGACGTCCGCCGTGCTCCTCTGAGCCAGGTCGTCGGCTGCCGGAGGGCGCGCTCTGGTGCGTATGGGGGTGGAGTTATGTTTTTTTAAAGAAAAAATAGGGCAGAGTTTCATGAGGGCCAACCTGGGCCGCGGCCCGCCAAAGCAAGCCTTCTTGGAGCAGAAGAATAATAACTTTTCCTAGGCCCAAGCCCACACCTGTCACAGTGTTCCACGAGATAGCAGCCCAACGCCCAACACCCAGGAGCTCACAAGTCACAACCCTCGCAGCGCCCAGCTTGTGTGTTTCCTGCCTTAGCCTTGAGCTTGCTCTATTTCTCTTGACTTTCAGCATGTCACCGGCCCTTGAGAAAAAGTGAAATTCAATATTTAAGCCATCGAGATACTCGATGCATTATGATTTCCTTTTTGAAACAGTTACACAATCATGTCGACGTCACAAGAGCCATGTTGTTAACTCCAAATTAACCAGGATAGTATATACAAATTAATAATCTGAAAGGGCATGCAGATTGAGGAGGATCTGCCGGAGTTGAGAGAGAGATGGGCATTATCGTTCTGGGGTACAGGAGGAGAAGAGAAGGGAAGAGTAATGGGGCTTACATCATGCCGTCAGCCGTGCTCTGAGCCAGGTTGCCGGCCGCCGGAGGGCGCGCTGTGCATACTGGGGTGGAGTTCTGTTTTTTTATAGAAAAAATAGGGCAGAGTTTCGTGAGGGCCAACCTGGGCCGCGGCCCGCCAAAGCAAGCCTTCTTGGAGCAGAAGAATAATAACTTTTCCTAGGCCCAAGCCCACACCTGTCACAGCGTTCCACGAGATAGCAGCCCAGCGCCCAACGCCCAGGAGCTCACAAGTCACAACCCTCGCAGCGCTCAGCACACCGCAGCCGCCGGCCGGCCGCCGCCCCACGGGTGACCGTCACGCCGCCGCCGCCGCCCACCGTCCACCGGCGCACACCAGCCGCAGCCCACGACCACCCCTATCGATTCGGAGACCCGCTCGCCTCCCCGTCACCATCCACGCCTTCCCCCTCCCACCTCCCCCGCCAAGCCAAAGCCGCCGCCACCCTTCCCTTCCCCGGCTTCCCTCCAAAACCCTAGCGAAAAATTCCCCATTCCCTCCACGAAAGATTCAAACCCTGCCCCCAATTTTCAATCCTCCTCCCGCCGGACCCGATCCCACTCCCACCTACCCTCCCGAGAAAACTACCCATTAAAATCCCTCCCGGATGCGCTCCATTTCTTCCGCCATGAGGTCGCTCCTCCTCTCCGCCTCCGCCCCCTCCTCCTCCCCCGCTTTCTTGCCCCGCTCCACCGCCCTCCGCCCGCTGCTCTCGCTCCCTTTCCGGCCGGATCTTTCCCGCCCCAGGCCCTTCGCCCCCCCGGCCAGGTCGCTCTCTAAGACGGCACCGCCGGCGGCGGCGGCCAGGGCTCGGATAGACGAACGTGTTTCGGGGATGGAGGTCCAGGCGGCGAATTCCGGCGAGATTCACATCATCGTCGGGCCCATGTTCGCTGGCAAGACCACCGCGCTTCTCCGCCGGGTCCAGGCCGAGGCCGGCACCGGCAGGTACTGACCCCCGTCCAGTCTCCTCTCTCTCTTGTTTACTGCCAGTGAACCCCGGTTCCTATCAGTCAGTCAGGGTTTCTGATAAGACCAAAGAAAAATCAATGCTCAGAAGAGTAGGAGCCAAGTAGTATATAATACTGATGTCCTTCTTATAACTCTAATTGTCAATAGCTTGCATAGAAAACTGGTGGCCTGTCAGAGGTTCGCTGGTCGGTGATGGAGTAATTCATGATCTTGTCTAAGTATATAATAACTAATCTTCTTCTTATATAACTCTAATTGTCAATACCTTGCATAGAAAACTGGTGGCCTGTCAGAGTTTCACTGGTCAGTGATGGCATAATCAATGATCTTAGCACACTCAAACTGATATTTACTTTCTTTCTTAAAAAGACTGCTATGTTACGAGTGATTTTCTTAGTCAGCAAGAAGATTGCTATTGCAGAGATTTTGATGAAAACAATGTGTCTTGCTCTTTCTGTCTCCTGAATTCCACGCTTTTTGACTTCGCCATTTACTTCCATATGTGGGACAAATCGTTGTGGTAGAATTTTGACATCTTTGCTCCTTGCAATACAGGACTGTGGCACTCATAAAGTCTGACAAAGACAATCGATATGGATTGGATTCTGTTGTGACCCATGATGGCACAAAGATGGCATGCTGGGCTCTACCAGAGCTTTCAACTTTCCAAGATAAATTAGGGAGAGATGCTTATGATAAGGTGTGACAAGCACTTTCAGCTTTCTATTTAGTTAATCATGCTGTGCACTGTGAATTACTACTGCCTTTCAAATATTCTAATGGTTTCAATGGATGCTTCAAACATCACTCTGCTTTTGTTTGGTAGTCTTATTTCTCGTTGCAATATATCGTTTCTCCATTTTATGCTGTATTGCTTCAGATTCTTTTTGCAAAAATGTACACAAAAATTATACCTTTACAGTGCTTTCTCACAACAAGGTAGAAAAGAGAGCAATCTAGACTGTTGCTATATGTGCTTGTGCTAGCAGTGAATTCATAAAAGTAAATGTGCCATCAAGCATTATTTGAAAAGGAGATCTGTATGTATATGCAAAATGCTATCATTTGGGCCTGCATAGATGGAAAAGTTTAATACTGGAGTGGTAGTTGTATGATCTTGGGCGCGTTTGGTTGGATGCCACAATATTGCACAGTTAAGTTAGCCAGCTATGTTAATGTCTAGTTCTTCTCTGAACTTATCATGTTTCACCTCGTTTGACCTATAACCCATATTTCAAGGTCACATTATTTTGTCACATTGAGGAAGCTGAATCCACCCAGTCTGTGGCTACAAAAAATTGCTTTTGGTCTTGGCCTGAAATAGTAGTACTGCTCCTGTTTTCCATTTAGCTGAGGTTTGTGAATAAAGAAGTGAAAATTGAATAATTGTGGCAAGGTAGCTGACTGGAAAACTTACTGAGTCCAATCAAAACATGTTATGGTTGACTTTTTGTAGCCATTTGTTTTTCAATAATATATTTGCAAGCCTGTAGAAATTGCCAAATGTACTTGTGTTAATTTGAACAGTGTATGCCTAAGAAGCCATTATTTATCTAACAACAAAAAGTTTGATCTACAAGCATCCTGTGTTGAAAATTGACGAGCTTGTAATTAGAGGACCTAGTTTTGTCACATGATAGCAGGAGGCAGTTGTCATGCTTAGTGTTCATCTACTTGCCTGATTTAGTAAGTAGATTGTCAATGATATGGGTTGACTAGCTAATCTGTTCTTCAGCCATTCTTAAAAAATACATGTTTGTGTGCGAACTTCCTTTTATCTGGTTATCATCACAACTTATCGTACAGTTGCTATGTGAGATGGTACCACCTCCTATCTGTACCGTTGCTGTGGGAAATGGCCTGGAAGCTTTAGCCAGCCAACAATGGTTGAGATAAGAGCTGTTGGTTTTTTCATGTCATGGTGTGGCATGGTGGTATTGAAGCTGTTGGTTTTGGTTGTCTGTAAGAATCTCATCAAAATTTGCTGCTACAGGTAGATGTCATAGGTATCGATGAAGCCCAGTTCTTCGATGATCTTCATGATTTTTGCAGCAAAGCCGCTGATCATGATGGAAAAATCGTTGTGGTTGCAGGGCTAGATGGTGATTACAAAAGGTACTTGCTGACTGATTTATCTCATAACTTGTTTAGTTTCCCTATGATGTGGCCATTTGCTGAATCTCTGTACATCTCCTAAAAGACTTAAATAAATAAAATCATCCAAATGGTCCAAGTTTCATTCAGAAGGTATTGCAATTCTTTTTTTTTTATCATGCCTACTGTTTGATGGTCGAGTTGTTTCACAGGAACAAGTTTGGCTCAGTACTGGACATCATTCCCCTGGCCAACTCGGTCACCAAGCTGACAGCACGGTGTGAGTTGTGCGATCGCCGGGCGTCCTTCACATTGAGGAAGACACAGGAAACCAGGACCGAACTCATTGGTGGAGCCAATGTGTATATGCCTGTGTGCAGGCAGCACTACTTGGACGGGCAGATTGTCATCGAGGCCACAAGGATTGTTATGGATATCGAAAGATCCACGGAAGTAGCTCGCTGCTAGTTAGGGGTGTGTGCCTTATCCAGAATATCCCTCTCTTCAGTACTCCAACAGCGTGTTGAGATGTGCTACCAGTGTGTACCTGTTATTGATCATCTGTGGCAGCATGCCAGCCTGAATTTCAAGTTATGAGGCAATGCCATATTACCATAGGAGAACTTAATTAAGTTGCAATTTGAGCAGATTGTAAATATTTACCAGTTGGGGATGTTGGTGCAAACATCTCTTCTTTTTAGAATACCCACCTTTTAATTCGAAAATGATGACCTCTTGTGCCAAAATTGCGCACGCATGAGACAGATTCTGGAAGGGAGGTGAATGCGTAGTAATATGTGGTTGTTTGTAAGAAACATTGGTTAGCACGAAATTGTTAGTCCCTGTATTAGGTAGAATGAGAAACTGAAGAGGTAACAAATGGTTATCTATTTATTTCTGGACATGTCTTATACACTGTAATTTGGATGCTCCAGTTCGGAAATATTGTGTGTGCAAAAAAAATATTTTGGTCACTCATGCAGACCAGAGGCTGCGCAACGCCCGCTGCTGCTCCTTTCTCTGTGCAGGTCTGTCACCCGCTATTGTTTGTGGTTGGATTAAGAATTCCTTGAGTGTATTTCTTTTTGTCAATTTGTTTCGGGCTGATGATATAAAGGTCGAAGACGGAACAATGTAAAGTTTTTACCAAATCAATAAATTTGGACGCCGATAACGCCCACACGTATGGGCGTTAAGGGATCTGGCCACACGTTTTATGTGGTGTCTAAGAGAATCAGCCCACACGCCTATGTGTGGGCAAAACAAGGAATGCTTATATGTTTTTTTTTCTCGCGGTTCCTCCCACATGTCTACGTGTGGGCAAAATAGATAACGCCCACACGCCTGTATGTTAGGCCTCCTACCTCATGGTGATGCATGCCCCCGCGTGACAGTCACCACGCGCCCTTGCAGTTGCCATGGGCTGGACCCTCTTCCATGTTTGTTAAACTACAGTTGCCATGTTGCTGAAATACAATTGCCATATCGGACAACTACAGTTGCCATGGTTGCTCAACGGCAGTTGTCATCTCATGTCAAGTGCCAGATGCCATTTTGGACAGCTTCAGCTGTTGCCATGTGTGGTCTGGTCTATTACAGTTGCCATGATTTAAAAAATTTAGGAGTTGTCACCTACTAACACTAAGCAGTTACCATATAGCACTACACAAAGACATGGCAAAATAATATGTTCAGGTAAAGAGAGAGTTGCCATCTGCTTACAAGCACACCAGGGACAGTTGCCATGTACCCTGCAAAATATATGGCAATTAACAGCTTTGGATGTGGGAGAGGAGACGGGCGTGTGGGCGCGGTGGTATCTTTAGGAGTTGCCATCTACTAAACACTAGGCAGTTGCCACATAGCACTACAAAAAGACATGGCAAAATAACATGTTCAGGTAAAGAGAGAGTTGCCATCTACTTACAAGTATACTAAGGCAGTTGTCATGTACCCTGCAAAACACATGACAATTGATAGGTTTGGGTGTGGGAGAGGAGACGAGCGTGTGGGTGAACTGACAAACACCCACACAGCAGCCCCTGTACGTGCGTTGAAAACTGGCGTGTGGGCGAACTGCTAAACGCCCACGCACCGTCACCTCCGTGTGTGGAAAGGGATGTGTGGGTGACCGAATGAATGCCCACACACCAGCCCAATCCTACATGGCATAAAAAATCTGGCAAAACATGTCAAGATTCATGCAAACTCAAACGCCCACACGTATGGGCGTTAGTATTTCTGACAAATTTTGTAGTATTTGCACTTGTCACTGAATCAATAATACGGGTATCTATATGTACAAATTGGAAAAATGATGTGTCGCCCAATGTATCAGCTACCTAAGAGAAAATCATCAGCAGCATTTGATTTTTTTAAGGAGTATCAGCAGCGACTTGTCCAGACTATTATATTATCAAACCGTAAAATAAAAAGAAAAACGATTATATTGGTAGCAAACGCTGGGCCGACCGTGTCAGCCTGTGAGTGGGCTTCGAATTCATTTTCCTGTGACCCGCCACGCTCTCACGCATTTCCCCCCAAAACCGCCGCCGCCCACCTCTCTGATCTCAAAAAATGCCCTCTCTGATCGCGTCGGCTTCGGCGGCGGCGGCCTAGCGCTGGGCGTCGACGCCAGCCTCCTCCTCCTCGCGTGCTCCCGCCGCACAAACCGCCAGCCATGGGGGTGGAGGCAGGCGCTCCTGGTTCTAGGTCGAGGAAGAGGAAAGCAACGGCACGCGAGGCGGCCGCCCCGGCGCCGGCGCCGACGCCTGCGGAGGCGCCCGCCGCGGAACCTACATCGGAGGACCGTGGACAGCAGATTCCCGGATCCGATGCGGACGGAGGAGGCGCCGGCGTGGATCGCATCAGCGACCTCCCCGACGAGGTCCTCGGGGAGATCGTCTCGCTCCTCCCCACCAAGGAAGGCGGCCGCACCCAGGTCCTCGCCTCCCGGTGGCGCCGCCTCTGGCGCACCGCCCCGCTCAACCTCGACCACCGTTCCTTCTTACGCGACGAGGAGGGCCTCGATGCCGCCATATCGCGCGTCCTCGCCGCCCACCAGGGCCCCGGCCGCCGCTTCTCCGCCCCCGTCTACCACCTCGCCGGCGACCGAGCGGATGCCTGGCTCCGGTCCCCCGCCCTCAACAACCTCCAGGAGCTCGAGCTGTGCAGCTTCAATCATAAGTTACCGCGTCCACCGGCAACGGTGCAGATGCCGCCCTCGGCCGCCTTCCGCTTCTCCGACACCCTCTGTGTTGCCATCATTGGAGATTGCCACCTTCCCGACGACATCATTCAAGCGCTTCACTTCCCTAAGCTTCAGAAGCTCGCGCTTCAGAGCGTCAGCATATCCGAATCCTCGCTGCACACCATGATTGCCGCTTGCCCCGCTCTGGAGTGCTTGCTTATTAAGAACAGTGGGGGCTTCCGTTGTGTCAGAATCAACTCCATTACCCTTAGAAGCATTGGTGTGAGCGGTTATAGCAATCGGCTAGAGACCAAATTTAAGGAACTCATCATCGAGAATGCCCCTTGTCTTGAAAGCTTGCTCACACTTGGTTCATGCGAGTGCCGTCTTATATCGGTAATCTCCGCGCCTAAACTCGAGGTCATGGGCTGCCTTTCTACTCATTATGGTATTAGAATCTCGTTTGACTCGGCACCGTTCGACTCGACGGTTATTCAGGTAGTGTGCCCTCCCTACTTGCTTTCAATGTGCTGCTGAATTACATGTTATCTGCACTTATAGATGGTCTAATATCGTCTTTCATGCTCCATGAAGCGAATGGGTGTTGACCGCCTGACGGCAGCGGTGCGCACTGTCAAGATTTTAGCTATCCTTATGCATTCTCTTAGTCTTGATGTTGTTCTTGACTTGATGAGATGCTTCCCGTGCTTGGAAAAGTTGTACATTGAGGTGATACTTCTTCTGTGATGATGGTTCATCTAGTATTGACTGCTCCTTTGATTCATTTACTGTTCTGAAATTATTGGTTTTTATTTTGTTTTCTTTGTTCGTTTTCAGTCAAGTGGACCAGGGATTAGCAACCTATGGCGTCGTAAACACCGGGCTCTTATAAGATCACTTGACATCCGTCTGAAGACTATTGTATGGAATTATTATCGGGGAATTAAGTCACATGTTGACTTGGCCACATTTTTTGTACTAAATGCTCGCGTGCTAGAATTAATGACTCTTGAGGTTAATGTTGAAGATTTCAACGAGGATTTTTTTGCACAACATCATAAGAAGCTTCAGGTGGATAGTAGGGCCTCAAGAGGTGCTCGGATTCGTTTTACTACCGATTGGTGCTATAATTACCATATGAAGTTTAGTGTCCATGATTTGGGTCGAGCTGACCCCTTTGAAAGGACACACCCTTTGCAAGGAGATACCATATTTGAGCTTTGCTAACTGTTAGTTTGTATCATCTCCTTATTATCGCAGTTAAGAATGCTGTTCATAATAATGTTAGTTCTGTTGAAACCAATTTCTATTCAGCTCGTTTAAGTTTGTATTATCTTGGAACCTTACGGCAGTTAAGCATGCTATATATTCATGATGTTGGTCCTGCTGAAACCAGCTTGATGAGAAAGCACATACATTGTTTTGTGCCCTTGAGTGTCAAGTGTATCCATTAAACCGTTCTATCATTTATGAATGAAGTCGCACGAATTGATATGCTTCTGAGTGTTGGTATCACTCACCTTGTGGTGCTAAAAGTCATGTCAGTCAATAGTTTTTTGCCCCCTTGCCCAATGGCATGATTTGTGGTTACTTGAACATTCTGAATGTTGCATGATGTCTCTAGTTTGCATCAACTATTTGCAGTTCCACCTGGGCTTTGTCTTGGAAGCAAGAAATGAATTTTGTTTCTTGATGCTGAAAGTAACCGTGGTGCTAAAAGTCATTGTTTTTTGCCCCTTGCCCAATAGCATGGTTCGCGTGGGATGTGGTTCCTTGCACATTCGGAATGTTGCATGATGTCTCCGGTTTGCATCAACTATTTGCAGTAGGGCTGGGACTTCATCTTGGAAGCAAGAAATGCACTTTGTTTCCTGACGCTGAACTGCTTTGTTTGGCAAAGTCTGCTCCAGCGTTGGCTGCTGCTCCTCTCCTTGTGCGGGTTTCTTGCCCTCTTTCATTTGCTGTCACAGTTCAGAATTCCTGGACAGTATTAATTTGTTTGTCGATTCGCTTCGTGCCGACGATAAATGCTGAAGATGGAACATTGTAAACTTGCTGGTGAATCAGTTATTCCACTTCTTTCCAGCACATAAAAAAAAATAAGAACAGAGGGAAAGAAGCCCCCTGTCTTATTCTTATAGGAGAATGAGGAGACTCGAACCTAGTCTTTCCAGCACATAAATAGCCCTGATGTTGAGCTGCTCTGATCAAGCTCCAACCATGGCTGCTGCTCATTTCTCTGTGCAGGGTTCTTGCCTCTTCCGCTTGCTGTCGGAATCCATGAGCTGCACAATTTATTTCTCGATTTTTGTTGTGTGACGACGTAAATGCCAGTGAATCAATTATTCGGTAATTGCACGCGTCCTGCGCTTGTTAGCGAATCGACGGTGCATGGCGTATCAGAGGCAGAGCACAGCCGATCGATGGGTTGTAGAACCGGTCAGGAGGTTTTGCTGATTCAGTACTGGAAACTCATGGATGCTATCCAAAGCATGCAACCAGTACTTTACTGCATACGTGGATATAATGAAGTAGCACATGTGTATGTTAGCCATGGCGCACAAATGGAACTGGGCCATATCAGTATGGCCAGTGATCCATTGAAATATGATGTGCTCAGCCGACTAGACTAGCAGACGTCCAAAGCCCAATACCGGACACTATTTTTCTTTTCAAGATTGTACGTAACACTAATTCAGAACGAACCTGACACTTGATTGCTCTCTTCTCTACCATCAGGCAAGCAAGCAAGCAGCATGTATTTTTTTTTCTTGACAGTTGAAGCAAGAAATCAAAGTAAGAAGAACAGGGGAACCGCTGAGAGCACCCTATCGAAGACGTCAGCCGCTGCCGCTCCACCCAATCCCCGCCGGCAAGGCCACGGTTCCCTCCTCCTCAGCGTGCCGCTCCGGTGGCGGAAGGGGGTGGGAACCTAGGATCTGCATTGCGGCGTTGTAGTTAGGTTAGGTCTCTTAGGTTTAGAGTTTGGTTTCTCGGCGGCGGTGCTATGCTGGCGATTGTGGCATTGTACGGTTCAAAAATAAGGTTTTCCTGACTCTTGGCCCACCAAATCGGCTGCACCGTAGAGGACGAGAATTGTCTGCTTACGGTTCTATTAGTAACTCCGGTATCATTCTTTCCATAGTTTATCATTTTTCAGTTAATATTTGCTCCTGTTTTGCTCTCTTTTTTGTTTGTTCATAAATAGTTTGGATTGCTTACCACATTTATCACGTGGTCGCTCCTGTTTTGCTCTTACTAACAAGGTGGCCTCCTAACTCATTCTTTGGACGTGCCGGCTTCGTTGGCATGCAGGGCGTGGCCAATGCGGAGTTGGCCACGTCGTCGTCGGTGCCCCAGTCATATTCTTCCTCTGCCGCATCAGCCTCCACGAACATGACTTCTTTCTCAAGCCTACTAGCAGCGTTGCGCCATCGCTCGCGGCGGATTTGGTGGGAGACGGCGTTGGCCATCTAGTGGCGCCAGCTCCGGAGAGCTTGTCGGCAAGCCAGCCTGTATCCGGCTGGCTTGCCGAGCTACCCAGCCAGCTCCAATGCCGGAGAGTACCTTCTTCTCCTCACCGGAGAGGTCGCCCCACAGAGTGTTGGAGCCAGAGGCCTTAGTGAGTGTGGTGCAAGGAGGAATGGAGAGCGGAGGTGTTTGTGATTCTTGCCCAGCGCCTGGCACGTTTAAATAGCAAGTGGATGCGAGACGCCAACCAACGAGGTGTTTAATGCCGGTCAGCACAGGGATATATGTGTTGCGCTTGAGGCGCTAGAGTAGATTCCCCGGCACACGCTTGTTTGATGGAGGCAGGCACGCAGACGAATGTCGTTTCAAAGCAAAGAAAGCGTGCGCAGTGGGCGTTGCTCTCGGCCGGCGCGCCGCTTCAGTGTCGGCTCTAGTGAAAGGTCACGTCTGCTCTGGAGTCTGGACCGACATGAAAGTGGCGCTGACGCTTTTGTGGGAAAGGGCGCAGGTGTGGGAGAGGGTTTTCGGGAGGGCCATGGTTGTCGGCGCGTGCGTGGCGATGGTTCGAACTCCCGCGAACCCCTTCCCTCTTGTTTGCTTCCGGTTTACGGAAAAAAGGACGCTCGGAATTGTCCATGGACGGATACATACCCATATTAGGTGGCAAAACATGTCTGCAGCGCGCGGCTCGGACGGATGCAGGCGATTTGAAGGTCCACGCGTTGAAGATGCCTTAAAAGTGGCCATCGTCATTACACAAGTATATCAAGAACTTATTTTTTCTCAAGAGTGATTTCAAGTCACGGTTGGATGTTTGCAGTCACAATCCAACATTTTGCAGGGAAGCGACGGGCGTCCCTAGTCCTCCATCTGCTCTGAGAATGTCAATCTTTAAGCAAGGCATGAGGGCATCTCCAAACCCGACCTCCAAAATGCTCAAATCCGTTAGGACCCAACTGTCCGGACCCTTCAAGCCATCCAATAGCAAACTTCATTAGTCTGCGGAGCGGTCCGGATTATATTTTTCACGAAAACCAGAACCAAACAAGGGGGGTTTGCGGGAGTCCGGACACAAGCCACATAGAATCTGACACCCACTAACCCACCCAAAACTAAGGCGGAGCCTGTGCTTGTAGCTATTTACACCGTTTCCACGATAAAATCCCCTACTCTCCGTTTTCATCCCGCCACTCTTCACCCAATTCCCGCCTTTTTTCGCTGCCACTGATGCATGGACCCATAGGAGAAGCTGCCGGAGGTGGCGGTGGTGGAGGATCTGGCGATCACACTCGTCCGGAAGATCAACTCGGAGATAGGCAAAATCGCTGCCTCAAAACGAAGGCAATGACGACACCGCTCAAGAAACAAAAGGCCGACAGAGGCGGAGGTGGAGTGGTGGTGGACGTGGTGGAGGGTGGAGCCTAGAATGTGCGGCCCCGCTGCTGTCACCGAGCGTGCAGACACCACCATGGCCGGAGCATTACAAAGCTTCGTACTACTATGCCTCCAAACAAGCCATGATCGAAGCTTCAGAAGACGCGAAGGTTTTGACCTTGAATTGAGGGTTTAGATGACGACGCAAGTATGATGGTGCAAGCAGTCCGTTTCACGATGTTTAGATAGCAGAAGGAAGAGTTGGAGGCGGCAAAGAAGGCAGCGACAAAGAAGGAGGCGGCTGAGACGGCGGAGAAGGAGGCAGAGACGGAGACGATAAATTGAGCGTGGAGGCTCGGATTGCATGCCCGGCAGGCGAGTAAATCCAATTTTTTGTATGGACTGCCGGATTGATATTCTTTTGTGACCGGACATGTAAAAACTATGCATATTTGCCCCTTTTTGTTGTGATCCAGAGAGTGCTATTTGATCGGATGGATTTGAATTTTAAAATTGACGAACATTTAGAAGATAGCGTTAGATGGTCGCCTTCCGCATTTGCGTCTCCGCGCCGGTTCCCTGTCCGTGGTGTCCGGTATGGGGGTTGGAGATGCCCGAGTCATGTCGTAGTTTTTATTATCTCTTGATCAGATTATTCATTCATAGACTCGTCTTTTGTCTAGAAAAACCGAGCTCTTGTTACGGACTCTAGAGATCTAACTAGGGTTTAGTCATTCACAGAAAAAAAAAACTAGGGTTTAGTCTCGACGTGGCAGATCAGGACGTCCGATAAATAGCGTCCCTCTCTATCCTCGGAGAAAACCCCGCGAGGAAGAGAAGAGATCAAGCCCGCCGCCTTCAGCCCCGAAGAAGATCCACCCTCTGCTCCGTCTCGCCGGTATGGCATCATCCCCACCCCCTTCAATTCGCTGCGATTTGCTGCTTGTATTCTTTCTCCTGCTCTTGTCTTCTCCTTTTTCTTCGTCCCCGTGTGTTGTGTTTTTGTTACCCGTTTCTCTCGGTAAAGATCGCCGGACTCGCCTCGGCCTGCCCGCGGTGAAGATCTCCCCGGACGCCATCGGCTCCTTCGCTCTCCCTCGTAATCAAGGAGGTCCTCGCGTTCTTTCATCGATTCCTTTTCTTGATGCCAACGATCGGATCCGCCTTACTCAAGATCGATCTTGCTCTGTTGATTTGATTGCAGGATCACATTCACATCATGATGAGTAACGCCGAGAACGCAAAGGTCGATGCCATGCCGGCGCCGGACAGCAAGCGTATGAAGGCGGCCGTCGTCGTGCCCGGCCTCAGGGCGACGGTGGCGGAGGACAGCATGACGGAGGTGCTGCTGCGGCTCACCGTCAAGTCCGTGGCCAGGTGCC